TGTGTGTGTGTGTGCGTGCTTGAGGCTGCTTACCTTTGAGTTATTAACGCGTGCGCAATAGGAGTCTCCTGTCCAGGCGTTTAGGAGTTTGGCAAACAGGATATCGCAACGAGAGCACCACAGCTTTCATAAAGCTGTCACCTAACAACACACAAATAATAATGTTGTAGCGTGTAGTAGATGATATAGTCATAATAATACTACTTATATTCCTGTAGCAACGTTTGCAGTGATATACTAAATTGATAAAACAGTTGCTGTTCTTTTTTTTTTTTTTACACCATCTGACATATTTAGTGCTATATTTTGAAAAAGTATTAAAGTGTCTGATCTTGATCATTTCTATGAAGTTTTCCCTCGAGGGTAAACAGGCCCATGCAGCACTTCCCTCATCACAAACACCGCGAGAGAGAGGACACCTGTCGCCACTTTTTCCCCTTCTAGATCAAAAAGGTTGAACTCTCTCCCCTCCCAAATTCACAAAAACACAAACACAGAAGAAACATAAAAGTCAAAGCTGTGTTACCTTACTTGACAGCTTCCGACTGTTCCATCTGTGAAAAGTCGAGTAAAAAGTTGTCCCGAGTTCGGTGTGTGTGTGTGTGTGTGTGTGTGTCGAGGTATGTGTGCAGAGTAAACGCAGTGAACACGCCCTCCCGAGTTAGTCCGCACAGGGGCTGCGGTCAGCTGGGAGCAGAGCATGAGACGGAACAGAAAACACACAGAGAGGAGGAGGAGTGTGTGTGTGAGTGAGTGTGTGTGTGTGTGTGTGTGTGTGTGTGTGTGTTTGAGCGTCAGATTAGTAGCCAGCGTTGTGTTTGTTTGACTGTGTGATATGACTCACACACACACACACACGGATGTTTTACCAATGGCAGGGTGGAGGTGGGATATAACTTTCCTTCTTGTAGTTGTCCACACCTGCTAAACACACAGTTGGCCACATACTGAGGGTGCACCTACTCTACTCACACACACACACACACACACACATACACGTACAGAGAAACCTGCCTCAACTTTTTATTGTGGACTATTGTAATCTGTGGTAATATGTGTGTGCTAGATGTCCCTTTCTCTCATTGGAAGTGTGTTTTTGTGTGTGTTGGGGGAGGGTGGTGGATTGAGAGTGAAAAAGACCTGTATTCAGTCCTGTCCTTTGTCAACAGACTTGGATGACAGCCACAGTCTGCCTTGTTGGGGAGCTTTTTTTGTGTGGGTTTATTCAAGCCTGTAGGTCCTGGCACAGACAGCGGCTGGTGCATCCAACCAACAATCCTGCTGCTCCCCACAAGGCCTCTACCCACAATCTGCCCCTGCTGCATGCTGGGAATCCTTACTGACACCTAGAGTAAGGATTAATAGGTGATTGTTATCTGCAGATACTGGAAGCCCATTTCTGGTCGCACCCAGGTTACGGCAGAAACCGTTTACTCACTCTGCTGGTATGTGCAAATACTGTATGCACTCAAAACGTACTGTACAAGGTCTTACTGTGATTAGCTGTTACCGACTCCTCATTTGCATGCACAAAAGCAGACCTGACCCACACACACAGTTAGACACACAGAGAGGTGTTTATCCTTAGTTTATTCAGGCTGCCAGCCTTTTTTAAGCATGTTTCATTGTAATGGCATCACAACAAAATCAAACACATTCATATTGATCAACTTATCTAGCATTAGCACGAGTAAACAGGGTCACATCAAATCTCTTTGAACTGTTATTAAAGGGTTAAAGCTGATATGTATGTAATGAGCAGTCAAAACAGAAAATTAATTTATAAAAAAAGACAAGTCAAAACAAAACACACACACAAATCAGAAAGCCATACTGGATGACATTCAAAGGTCTGCTACTATTGGGCCTTAGATCTTATATTGTTAAGTATTCCCAGGAATTGTTGAGATGGCTCCTTAGTCCTTAGCTAAATTATATAACTCGCTGCAAGTTGACAAATTATATAAATATATAACATACATAAGTATTTTAATTTTTGGTCTCAATAAAACACTAGAAAGTAACTCAACTTCACATGAAACACAAAAGTATTCTTAGATGAAAAAAAAATCTTACAAAGTTGATGTCTAGGGCCTCATTTTGGTCTATTTTAGTGTTCTTGAAAAAAACTTTAAAATGCCTGTTACGGCCTTGTCTGACCTACTGTCTACATGGCATTATATCATCCTTTCCCACAGTTGCACTGTACTATTTACACAGTTGAAACATTGATACAGCTAATTGCATGTTATTTAAGTACTTGTAAAAATTTATGGTGGGTTTGATACCAAAGATAAATCGCTAAAGGTGCTGAGAACATCTGAGGCTTTTTGTTCCTTATTTGTCAGATTACCAACAGGCAAAATGTCTGAAATATAAATACTATACAAACACAGTGAACACATGCACATACACTCGTTACACAATGCAGTATTATGAGAAAAATGTCCTCTTATAAACACACCCAACCCCCAGGGGTACACATGGGGACCAAACCAAAAATGACAAGGGCTCAGAAAAAAAAAAAAAAAAATCTCTTGTCGTCACAAATCGATGAGTCATTGCTCTGCTGTCCTCCACCCTCATCTGTTTGTCCTTCACACATCTTGTCTTCACTGTGGCTGCTCTCTGTGTGAAGACAGACAGAATTTGATCATATGGACAGATGGGGTTTGTGAGCAGAATCAAAACACAATCTAGAGGGATGTTAAAGGTGGCTCTTGATGTATATTGGCTGCTGTTGATCACTCCTGCCACCAGAGGCTGCTGTTGCACCAACAGACCATAGCTTAACACAGTGACACAGACACATTTACACTCACATACTTGAACTGGTGCAGTCACGCTAAATTCTCAGTTCTCTAACACCTACATGCGCAAACTCACATGGGGTCATAGCTGCTCTGCTCTTTGGTTTTGAGGAAGCGCATAGCAATGAGGCCACCCGCCTGCACACACAGCACTAGTATGATGCCTCCAATGAAACTGGACATGTCAAACCTGGCCTGGGAGAACTCTGGGGTGTTGCTTCCGTCACCTGGAGGGAAAGAAAAATGAAGAGTTTGATTGCAGAACGGAAAAATAATAGAGCATCAGATTTTTCAGAGAAATTCTGGGATTTTGTACAGGTGGAAATGACTGAGCAGCACTGGGGAACATTTTACTCAGCTCTTATGGGAATAATAACTGACGCAAGAGAAAGAGGAGGGGGTGTAAGTGGATGCTGGAGTAGAGATGATACACTTTACCTGAGTCACCTTTACCTCCATCAGCTACAGTCTCCACAACTACAATAAAACATGCAGAAGAGATAATAGTTAATGAGGCAGCAGAGAAATATCTCATGTTCATTTTGGAGTGTATTGTTTGCTACCTGTGCACAATTCAGACACTCTAGTCCAGCTACAGTTCATGCCGTTGTCTGCTGAGTCGCCCTCATCAGTCACACACATGCCTGTGTCATTACCTGAGACAGAAAGAACAAGCATTTTAGTGTGTCTGTACGTGTGTGTGTGTATCATGTGTATGTTCCTGGCATACTAAATAATTCAGTCATCTTGTACAAACCAGGGAAGCTTATGTTACAGCAGCTATGATGATTGAATTACTATCAGAGGTCAGAGGTGTGTGTGTCTGCATGTGTGTGTGTGTCTGCGTGTGTGTGTGTCTGTGTGTGTGTGTGTGCATGCGCCGCGTCACCATCTGGACAAAGCCTCCAGACACAGCCTGTCAGGTTCAGCATGGACTCTCCAACGCACAGGTCACATGACTCGGCTTGAGAACAATCTGTAGGAGGGACAAAACTGGCAGTCAACTGGAAGTGTCACTTAAAACAAATTGATTGACAAATTCACAATTATCTTTCCACAGAAACATTTTGTTTCAAACAAGACTTTCCACAAGTCTGGACAGCGTCAGAATAGGCAATATTGAGTAGGCAAAATTCAAGAGTAATGCCAAAGAAGCAATAACAGATTGTCATTAACCTCTCTAATGTTTGCGAATTGTCAGTTCTTATGAAATACTGGAGAACAAGCCATCATCACAGGGAATAATAGAAGAGATACTACCAAGGAAAGACACTGGAAGGAGACATCTGATGCTACGTGTAGGAAGATACAGCAATAGGTTTCTGACCAAAATACACTAAGATGAAAAAAAACATAAAAGTAAGACTTAAGGATGGACCCATACCTGACTGCGAGTACACAGAGGGCACCACTGCAAGAAGCAGCAGTGTGGAGCAGAAGACCTTCAATGCCAGCTGCTGCATCCTGACAGCCACAGAGCACCAACAAGTGCAACTGACTGCTGGAAACTTTGTTGCCTGGAGAAGAATTAGTATCAACAAAATGTTTTCAATAAAAATATCGTCGGTAAGTCCTCAAAAGGGTATCCAATAGTTGCAAACAGAGGTACGGCTCCTGGCTAGGACACAGAGGGAAAGAGAGAAAGACAAGAGACACAGAGATCTGTGTAACATGAGCGACACCCAAACTTGGTTTCCTGGCAACCAACTGGCCCACCTCAACCTTCCTGAAATACACACCAGTTTAGACGAAGTGACACCTGTTTAGTCCAGCAGGCATTGCATGCACACACACCTTCTTTCACATATATGTCCTTACAAACACCATAAACCATAGTGGGACCAACTGCACAAATTAAGGATGAACACAAAGTCATTTAAGAACCCTCATTATTTGCCCTCATTATTTTATAATAATAGTATATAGTACAGTGGCTCCCAAGATAAATCTGAGGGGTCATAAGATAATTTAGAGAATAAGACAGAAAAGAAGACAGATTAAGAGTCCACGTCCATGCTAGTGGCTCTGTGAGGCTGTATTTAGGCACAGCTCTGCTCTGAGCTAAATGCAACATCAGCATGCTAACATGCTCACAGTGACAATGCTAACATGCTGAGCTGGTGTAATGCAACACTATCTCAGTTTAGTATGGTAGCAGGCTAACATTAGCTAATTAGCACTAAACACAAAGTACAGCTGATGCAGTCAGGAGAAGTTAGGGGAGTATAATTTATTCTCTGTGCACCATAAAGGTCTGAAACAAATTTCATGGTAGTAATAGTTTTCTAATAAATAAAGCAACTTCTGTTCAACCCATATTGGTTTCAGGTTTAAATGTATTAACTTCCAGTTTAAGCCCCATTCCGAGTACGGATATAAATACAGATCATTTATTTGGTTGAACTGATACAGATACAATGGTGTACTTTCTCACCCTTAACCACTACCTGGTTGAAAGGGTAAGATTATTTGATTTTTTCTGACTTTTTTTCTTGTGAAATACTTGATACTCTCACATACAAATCCTTTCTCAACTTGAGAAGGAAAAATCACTTTGTACTCAAACTGATCAGAACTCATGTTTACTCCAAGGTCATAAACTGTGAAAATCGCTTCATTTTAAGCAGTCACAAGCCATGTAAGAGTGGCAACCATTGTTCTAGGAAATAAACTAGAACCAGAATCACATATTTTTCATGTGAATACTCAAACTAAAGAAAATTTCTCAACAGGCTTCCTCTGGAAAAAGCTGGATTAAGGCAGTTGATTAGTGCAGTCAGGGTTCTCATTTTAATTAGGAATGTGTCTGATACAGTAGTTAATGATAGTAGTTAACAATATGCCTCTTGAATGATCCAATCTAATTAGCACATCTCTAAATGTACTGTAGGTGTGAACACTAGAACACTGTGACTAGAAGTGGTCAGAACACATGTGACTACGTAGGTCAGTAGACAGCCTATACGTCAGCAGTCTATTATCACCTCAAATGTGTCACTGACTGCGATGAAGTGCAGCCTAGTCACTTGTCAATTTTCTCAAACACTATTGATTCGCCTGTGACAAACAATGCAGACAATAGTTTGAAGTCCATATTTAGTATGAAGCAAGATAATTGATATGCAATACTTTACACAAGCTGTATTAGCCAAGCACAAATAAGATTAGAGCAAATGTAAAAAGTAAAATCTGATCACTAATCAATTACAAGTTTGTGACAGTTTCTTACAGTTACAACTATCAATACATAAGCTGGATGTACAGCATCTGGACACAAGACAGAATGCCTGAACAAGCCTGAGATTGATTGAGAAAGTCTGATTTAGAAGTCTGATTGATCACAATGTGAAATGGTGACAGAAATAAAGCAGTAAAAGGGAGCTCAGACTAGTCAAGGCTCCATTACTCCCTGCTTTACCCTTGTACACACACATGCAAATGTATCAGCACAAACAGTACTAGTGCTTCGACCTTCAAAGTGCTGATTTGAAATGTAGATGCACTGAGTCATACAGTATACAGGACTCGGCCAAGCCCCTCAAAATCAGGTGCATTGAGCCCAGAATCACGACACACTTGTCTCCTTTATGCAATGAATTCCGCCATCACCTCCTCCCACGTGTTGCTCCTCCTCCACTCCCACATCTCATATGCTCTCTCACACATTGTCTGGGTACATCTGTGCAGCTCTGCAGGGTGGCTGGTTTGTGAGTCGGCGTGCTACAAAAACACAAAGGGATATTCCGCAGTCCTGTCGGACACGATTTCCTCCTCCACTGTTTCTCCCACTGCTGGCAAAAATCGATACACCAGCGACAGATAACCGGATAATGCTGCAATTTACACTTGTTAGTGTTAGTATATGTACACATACACATAAATCATATAAGTGAATAAAAGACATTAGTGCAAGGATATAAAATAGGAATCCATCACAGTCTGTAGTGTCTTAGAAGGGAAGAATCACCTGGATAAATTGCACAGATTTGTAAAAGCTAACCTTAAATTATTACATGTGATTCATATATAATGTGTTTGTAGTAGTACTATTAAATGTGTCATGAAAAATATAGGACATGGAGAAAATTAGGTATTCAGGTAAGAAAAACAGCTGTTATTCTGAAGGTGACAAGTGTTGCTCTTCAGACCCTCTAAGCGACGTAGGAGGGGTTTATCAGCAGGAAGTGTGTCCTAATATGGCTCGAGCAGGACGAGATCTCCTCACCACCCACCACCCACCACCCCCACAGTTAGCGCATTGATATGCGCGACCACGTAGACAACTGCAGCACCCACGTACACTATCAAACCGGGGAAGCCACGAATTCCCTGCTGCTGTTATGATTCTGCAGGAGTCAGAGGAGTCAGGGGCCTGTTTAAATCAAAAGACAAATCAATACCTTAGATAACAAGCTAAATAAAGGGCATTTCTGCTTTCGTTTGATTACAGGAAACCCCCTCCCCATGCACACCATAACACACATGCTTGTAAGGTTTATAAATGATTTCAGGTTTATTAGATGACATGTGTGAACCTCATAATGTACAATTTAAATACACACCACATAGACCAGTGCCAATAGTATCACTAATAATGAATAATTATATAAAAGATATAAGTTGTCGCAGGGTTTTGGGTATGGCAAGGGGCAATTAAGTCACATTTTGAGCCAAACTGGACGATAGTGTCTGTTTCCCACAGATAACTGGTGCCCTGCCGGACATCTCCCCATGAGTCATCCTGATGCGTTTCAGCACTGTGGACAGCGGCAGCCCTGAGCTCTGTCCCCACAGCTCGATACCTCTGAGCCCTGCCCCACTCAGAACAATATCCTCTCATTCAAGGAAGTCTCCTGGGTCTTATTGAGAAAATGTGTGTGTGTGTCTATTGGTGGTCATTATTTACCAGAAATGAGAACAAGAGTGAACCGCAGTGGGAGGGACGACAGAGATGCCGCATTTTTCTGAATGAAATTACTCCATACACACCCCCTCCCTACTCTCCCCGCATCCTCAGTGCCGGCACCTCATTGGTCGAGCCTCCCAGTCACTGACGTCAGGCTGGCGCTCTTGTGGATGATCAGCGCGCCAGAGCATCCATTCTGCCTCCCATAAGCGCTCCGACGAGATTGAAGAAGAAGAAGAAGGGATGCAAGCGACGGCAAGTGAGAGTTTGGCGCAACTTTGATGAAGACAGGAGGGAGCACGGTGGCATACACAGGGATTGTCCTCCTTATTTAAACTGGTGCCGAGCATCACTGCCGACAGCATCCCCCCATCTCCATCATTTGGGTCTTACAAGAGGAGAGAGCAGATCTGTTTAACTCTTGCAAAGGAATCACGGAATCGTGTTAAAAAGGTAAGATGAATACTCCATATTTTACATGTATACAAGTCTGTATATGCGTGAATGTGTGCGTGCGTGTGTTGGGGACATCCTCTGCGGTGCAATGAACCTGCAATTGTATTATACAACAGGGACCTCCGCACCAGGAGGTGGGATATACCTCCTCACAATGAGACGTGAGAGGGAGGAGGATGAAAGACTCCAAAAAAAGACTCCTCCTGTATGAGCAATATATATATATATATTCTTAAAATAACATTAATATATTACATTTGCGATGTGGTATTCCCTCCCAGTAGGCAAGCAGTACATTTTGACATGTACTAAAAAAAAACAAGCAGATCACATACTGGAGAGCACAAGCGTCTGAACAGGCGAATTCTTTAAATAGCCTAATTGTCGCCTAATTACCAGCACAAGCTTTCTCATTGGAGATATGAGGCGCTGCATGGTACACGCACAATCTGTCCCAGGTATACACAGTGTGTTCCTGTAGACGGACATCATGTTTGGACAGTAACAAGAGGGAAACCTCAGACTGGAGATCACTAACTTAATCTGTGAGTTTACAGATTTAGCAGCCTCAGCATTAATCATATGAAAGCTGTTTGGATGCTCCTGAAACCTGTGACAAGATAAAACTAATTGGGTGGAAAGTCCGGATTCAGAGTGACGTGCTAAAAAACTATATGTATGATACTTTAATCAATGATAGCCCAATGATGCGTTCATGTTTTGGTATATCTATTGCGTTGCATTACGCCTAAAAAATGGATCGATTAACTATGATTGGCCACAAAACTACATATGGTGACGTCACTGACATTTCAGCAGGACAATTATATAAAATTATTTGTGGTAATCTAAGAAATTTAAATTTATTCATTCAGATGAAAAAATCGATTATCTGAGAGGTGCAATTCAGTTTCAAGTTTTTTACAGCCTAAAATGTAATAACTTATTTCTTATTTTTTATTGCAACGTAAGAGTTTTTTTTATCTAAATTAAAGATCATCCAGGGACAAGATGGGTTTAAATTAGGGTGTATATAGGCTACAGCCTAATCAGCCACTACTATATGCTTATGTATCTGTCCCAATACTTGCTAACCAACTAAATAAATCTATTTTTTATAATTGAAAATAATAATTATATATATTTTATGAAATAATAAACAATACAGGACAACATATCATTACAAATGAAAGGAGCAAGAGAGTGCAGGGAGATCACTAATACCACTTAATGCACTCACAGTGATAATCTAATTTTATATAGCTCAACAGCTTTTGATTATAAGAGTGTAACATCTTAAGTTCCCCATTACCACATTAAGTCTACTTCTGCTACATCCAGCCTGCAGCAGCTCCACAGGCTGAAACCACAACTTCTGGTCAAGCAAAAGGCTGTTTGCAAAGGCAGATGCTAATGACCCATTAAAGCTAATGCCGACATGTCTTTCTTCCTTTTTTCTCTCTCTTAGGTTGTTTTTCTGTGACTGCTGATAAGCCATGATCCTGAACGCCTCTGACCTGGGCTGGGACGAGTCCTCAGGTGCAGACCCCTTCTTCCCTCTGGACCAGTTGGGTAGCTCACCTCCATATGAAGTCCCGCCCCTCACGGTGTGGGGCGTGGCACTGTGTGTTTCAGGAACTCTCATTGCCACTGAAAATGCAATAGTTGTCACCACCATCTTGGCCACCCCGTCTCTTCGCGCCCCTGTTTTCCTGCTGCTGGCTAGCCTTGGACTTGCTGACCTCCTGGCAGGCGTTGCTCTGGTCCTGCACTTCCTCTTCCTGTTCTGTGTGGAGCCCAGTGATTGGTCAGAATTGCTGACCTCAGGACTGCTGGTGACATCACTGACTGCCTCACTTTGTAGCCTGATGGGTGTTGCCTTGGACCGATACCTGTCTTTAAGCCACGCCCTCACCTATGGTTCAAGCCAATCACGTCACAGAGCCGCCATCCTCCTGCTCCTGGTCTGGTTGGGTGCATGTATCATCGGGGCTGGGCCTGCAATGGGATGGCACTGTCTGGGAGAGCCAAACTCCTGTTCTGTAGCCCGACCTCTGACCCGGACATACCTATCGCTGCTGTGTGGTGGCTTCCTGGTGGTTGTCATGGTAACCCTGCAATTGTACGCTGGGATCTGCCGTGTGGCAAGGCGGCATGCCCACGCCATTGCTACCCAGAGGCACTTTCTCCCTGCCAACCAATCATATGCAAACAAACACAGCAGTGGGAGAGGCTTCTCTCGGTTGATCCTGGTGCTCAGTGTGTTTGTAGGCTGCTGGATGCCTTTCTCCCTCTGGGGGCTGCTGGGAGATGCGTCCAGCCCTCCTCTGTACACCTATGCCACCTTGGTGCCAGCAGCGGGCAGCTCGTTGCTGAACCCAATACTCTACAGTCTAAGAAACAAAGACATTCGCAAAGTGCTGCTCCAGGCCTGCTGCCCACACAAATACACACAAAACACACACGTACACTACCCTGTTGATGTGTAGACTGCCAAACTTTGCCAGACTCAAACGACCATACAATCTATGCCAGACATATCACTGTTTGTGTGCCAAAATACGCACATAGCTGCATTGACTCTCATCCAAATCAAGAACATTAAGTCTCTCTCACACACACACACACACACACATACTCCCACACACGCAAGCAGCAGAGAGATGAAGTCCTTCTGTGAATCAGAATGTCCTGGACTGTCCTGGCTGGCAGCCATCTTGGGACAAAAGACTAAACATGCTGTCTTGTATGTACTTTGTGCCTCATCCAGTCAATTGTAGATCCACTGGATTCCCAGACTGACACAATCACAGGGATGCTATATATATCCCCAGTCATAAAAAGTGGATTTAATGAACGTCGGCACTTTAAGATGAGAGGACAGATTTTAAATGTAAGCATATCACAGTGTAATGACGTGTGATCCAAAGTCCAGTTTTATTTACTTGAATAACAAGAAAACACAATGTTCTAGATTTTTGAGATTCTATTTTGCACATGCTGTTACAGGCACTTTGAAAGGTACTGACCATATGTTCATGTTGCACAGCCTTTTTGAAATGAATGAATATTTTATACTGATGAATAATAAATATGCTTTTTTTCTACTTGGTGATGTCAGCACTCTTCTCTTTACTGCTGCTGAGGCTTTTAGTCCGTTTGTCTCTCTCTCTCACTCCTTAACTCAATCAGGCAGACTGCTGCTATCTATTCCTGTATCCTGAATTATTTGGTGGATAAAGCAATCTTCACTTTCATTACCATCACTTTGCACCCACTGCATCCTTTAAAACCTACAAAGCAGCCTTGGTATGAGGATATAGTGATTATGCAAGAGGTTTTTCTCTCCTCCTACTCATTTTTAGAACTTTCATCCAGGCGACTCATTTTCACACTCCCTACACAGTCAGCACCGGGCGGGCACTGACTGTGAAAAAATCTCTAGCACTGACATAAAGAGGATGAGTCACGGATAAAGCATGAGGAGTCTTATGCCAAGGCTTGACATTCTTGGAGACTTGTTATTTAACACTTCACAGCATACACACTATTCATTCTCACAGAAAAGACATCCAAACAATGACTGTAATTCACTCTATTTTTATTGAAATAACTATAATCATTTGGAAAATTTAAGGCAGGAGAAGCAGAACTTTGGCTAAGCATGCTGTGTGATTGTGCTTTAAACACAAAAATAAAAATAAAAATAAAAATAAAAATAAAAAGGCACTTGAAAAATATGCGGTCCACACTAAAACATCAGTCAGTTCTATATTTGAGTCATCAATGGCAGCTGTTGATATTTTTTTGGAAGCGACAGACATCGGTGACCACCACTGCAGATAACCAAAATAAACCAGCACTGATACTTAAATGCAGTATTAAAAAAAGGCACTTATCAGGCAGCATTTTGCTTTATCCTGCTGCCTGTAATTAAAGCATCAGAGCCTAGTTCATCCCCAGAAAAGGTCAAAATAAAAACTGCAGGAAGAAAAATGCAACGGAGCTGATACACGGTACAAATTGAATCATGATAATTGTGTTAAATGTCTGCATATGTTCAGTATGGTGATCTCATCTATCACCCCAGGTGTCTGGCATGAGCCAATGCTTCCCCTATCGCACTGAATAATTCATTCATGAATTTGTTTATAATCTTCAACCACGTCTCATCTACAAGTCAACTGCTCCCATGACAACCACAGAAGAAAAAAAAATTAGACTGAGTACGAAAGTGAGGAAAGGAAAAGTGATAAAGAGTGGACTTCAAGGTATATCAAGGGATTGCATTCATTATCTTTAGTAGATATGATTCAATATGTAATATAAACTATACATCTATATCATATAATCTATAAATGAGCGAGAATGTTTTGACGTCTTTCCACTGAGTACATAGAAATACTGTGTATGGAAGAGGTTGCATGCTTGTGTGTGTACTCCTTCTTTATTACCCTTTGCCATAATATACCAAAGCAGATAAAATCTGACATTAAAGGACATCTGATTCTAATAGACACTAAGATAAAGACAGAGGTGACGGGTTTATGTACAGATTCAGCAGAGAGACGTGCATCACATCACACACTCAACTGTGTCATCCAATGAAAGCAATGGAAAATTAGCACAGACACAATCACACTCTTTCGCTCAATCTTTGGACTTTTGCACCTCTGTTCTAAATAATTTTGGATAAATAGAAATAATTGGGTCGAGGAATGTACATACTATGTGCGCACACACTCAAAATCTAACAGACACACAGAACATGGACCCCAGCTTTACAAGTACTTAAGAATGTGATCTGAATGGAAATACGCTGATGTTGTTTACAGCTGAGGAAAGATACGGAGGTGGTAGTGAAGATGAAAAGGGATGACAATCATTCAGACCACTCCTCATCGTCAAACTCCGAAGAGTCATCCTCACTGTCGCTGCACTCCACGGCAATACGACGGGACAGGATGGCGGCCACATCGTTGCCAAAGTGATCCCTCTTCTCCTGCTCCCGCTGTGCCTCCACCTTACGCAGGTTAAAACCTATAAAGGGAGTTAGTTACAGTGAGTGAGTGGGCCTGACAACATCTGTATAATACTTTACAAGGAGCATCCTGTCATTGTACAGACAAACATAGTGTAAAATATTAATTTCAAATTATGTCAAAAAAGCATTTTATTTGAGGCAAAAATAGATCATTATTATTAGCAAAATGTACTTAAGATACCCCATGGAGTTTTTGCTGCTATGAAGGAACATTTTTATTAAAGGGTCCCTACTTTGTTTGTGTAGCATACTCAAAAATGTTTAATGAATAGTTTAACGCTATTCCACTAAATAACAGCTGGTGGCAGTAATGTGCAAAGAAACATTACTGCCACCAGCTGTTTTTTAGTGGAAGGATACACAATGTATATACTCAAATACTGAACGTAAATATAACTTTGTCTGTTTGTCTGGCACCAAAAAAGAGGTACTCATAATGCAGACTTTTTAATATTATTATTATACATTATAGCATTGGAAAAACATTACCAATGCCTCAATGTGTAAGCAGCAATTTAATATTGTAGCTGGCTGAAGTGGAGCCAAGTTTTTATTTATACTGTCGGTTATTTTAATTTACAGTTTAATTAACTTTTATGAAACAATGCATTGCTTTTATACGCTCATTAGGTCTCCATAATCTTAATCTGAAGAGTATCTCATAACTTCAAGTGTCAAATAAACGTAACAGAGTGAATTACATATTTGTCTCTGAAATGTAGTAGAGTCTAAAGCAGCATACAACAGAAATACTAGTAAGTACCTTAGATATGTTATATGTTGTTTTACTTGTTTCACTAGTTTAAATTTATTATTCAGCCAATCAGCAGTGAGGACTGCAAATATACATTTTATGTTGATCGGTTTCCTGTTACCTTGTCGGATGGCTTGCAGCAGGTCACTGCGACCGTCAGGAGCAGGCTCTGGCGGAGGTTTGGGAGCAGAACTGGGTGCCCCACCACCACCAGAGGGAGGAGGGGGAGCAGAGTTGTTCATGGATAAGGGAGGAGGGCCAGGGGGAGGAGGAGGAGGAGGTGGAGGTGGTGGACCACCACCTGCAGGCAGAGGTGGTGGAGGAGGAGGAGAAACAGCGGACATAGCAGGTGGAGGAGGGGGAGCAGGTGGGGAGGGATAAGAGGAAGGAGAGGAGGAGAGTGGAGGAGGGGAAGGTGGGGTGTCGAAGCCAGGGGGAGGTGGGGGAGCCCCAAAGCCAGAGGGTGGAGGAGGAGGAGGAGGTGCAGGGGGAGGGGAGAGGTTGGGGCGAGAGTTGGGCAGGGAAGAGGCCATGGGGGGAGCAGGAGGTGGGTGGCTCGGACTAAGCACGCTGACACGCTTCTGGGGAGGTGCTCCGTACTGCCCGTCATTATACCTGCAGGTGACAGAGTGGAAGTTCGAGACGTTAAATGACAAAATGGATCTCAAACAGTAGGTTTATAATATGTTTGGTAGATGTGCCTAAAACCAAGAGGCTACTTACGCCATGTCTGGAGGTGGAGGAGGCAGGAAGTCATCAGCGCCAGGTGGCGACATCGGGGAGCTGGGCTCATAAGCAAAGGAGCCAGTACTCTGCTCGAGGCCTTCAGAAGTGAAACCTTCTCCAGATCCAATACTGCCATTTAGACCCTCAGAAGAATTCCTATAAACAAATTAAAGACATCACTATCAGTCCAACATACAGCATGTCATCTCTGTTCTCTGAAATCTAGACATGCAAATGACCTAGATAAAAAAAACACAGAGCATCTAAAGACCTATTTAGCAGTCATGGGTCGTGTACTGTTTGCTTATGAGAAATTACCATGAAAAGATTTAAGAGGAAGTATCATACATGCATTTACAGCAGAAGACGCAAATAGTGAAATGACGCATGTGTTGACTGGTTCACACAGCTATTAAAATAACACAAAGCGCAGTCACTTACACAGAGATAAAAGACTGGCTTGTTCTTCAGTTGAACATCTTAACCGATTATTGTTTTTAGGCCTGGCTCGTGAATGAGTTACATACAAGATTTCTTACAAAACACTATACTAATACTAATGTGACTCTAATTTGTTCCTTTAATGACAAATTGACAATGACAAAAAACTTATTTTGACACAATTCATTTCTTTAACATGTTTACCATGTGATCATTATATGTCACATGCAATAATCTAAAAATAATCAACGTTAAGGCCTAATGTGATTCACACATTTGTTTACCGCAATGTGCCAATGACAGCCAGTGCAACACCCAAGCCCCTGAGAACATTTTCAGACAGGACGTACCACCCATATCACTGTGTACAGATTGGCTGATAAAACAGGGGAGAATGGAATTTACCAAGCGATTGCCCATTCTGTCCTTTTACTGTCTCAACTAGAGAGAGAAATGTATTTGTCAAGTCATTATTTTTTTTTTTTTTTACATGTTGCCTCTTGAGCATGTGGATGACCACAACTCACCAAAACACACTCCATCAATCTGCAGAGAGTTCAACCACACTTCACTCAATCTCAACTTACATCAAATCATTCTTTGGCACCACAAACTCCTCCCCCATCTTACGGCGTTCCCATTCTTCCTTCCTGGTCTTGATCTTTCGTGGATTAAGTGTCCGTAGGTTTAGATGGTCCTTCTTCTCCTTCTACTCAGAAAAGAAACAGAGAAAAGGAGTCATGGAGGCTTTAACTGGATGTGACCAATGTCGTCCACTTGTTTCAACTCATGCTGTCATGTTATTTGTTTAATGTGTATGAGCCTGTTTATGTGTCTCACTCTGTGCTTGCGTCTCTCCTTCATGATGTCCTTGGTGTCCTGCAGCATCTTCTCCTTCCACAGGTCAAAGAAGTAGGAGGGATCAGTGTAAAACTTGAGGGCCTCCTTTCCATCGTCCCTGCAGGGAACCATTTACAAACATTGTATTTACATTTGTGTATTAGTTACACTTTGTTATCTTGTATCCACAGACATACATAACAGATCTGTATCTGCCTTACAGTATGTGCCAATATATTCACAAACCATAAAACTTCCCTTTTTTAGAAACATTTTCTTTAGTCACATCCCACCACATCCTACCTACCTAAAGATCTGTCATTGTCAACATTAATTCCGTTTTATAATAAAAGGCTTTATAATAAAATTGGACAAGCTTATACTTTTATTGTTATTATTGTTGAAATAACTTTTCTGGTTTTTAATGAATCACACTTCCGATGACATATCATGCCTCGCAGTTAGTTAATATTCAAGACCTCACTGATATGTCAGCTGGGTTGTGACACATATGATTATAATCTAGCTCTTTTTGGCATGTCTGAGGTTACTGTGATTTCTCATTAGGTTTGCTTGTTTTTAGGCTGGCAAAAAAAAACGTCAACAAAACAAAACTAAAACATCAGTGGGTCAAAATAAATGTATCTTTCACATGTTGACGCACTAATAAACAACAGCATTGAGTACTGCATCAGTATGATGAATCACAAGGATGTTGCAGAGGTGGGCTACATGTCTCCTGAGCAACAGAATAAACAGCCTTTTGACTTTCTGTGATATTTAGCATCACAAAAATCATAAATATCAAGGACTGAACCTCATTAAACAGTCACTGTTTGAGACCAAGTCCCAGTTAAGGTTTGAAGGTATATGAATCAGAGACGTGGGTTTAAATTATGAACAAAAATAGAACATGCATGTGCGTGTTTCCATCTCTGCACATGTGCATGCACGTGTTTTCTTTATTATACCTACCGGTACTGGCTGAGGTTGTTGAGTGGTGGGGGTGGATTACAGGTTATGTAGGTTTCCTGTACAGGCATTGGCAAGGACGGCCTGGTGAACAACTGCTGGTCCTGAGTCAGACTGCTACGGAAAGCCTTACGGGTAGTGATGGCCTGCAGAGAGACTGAGAGACAGAACAGAGAGAATATTATTGAATATTTATCGTGTGGAAGAGATTATTTTATTATTATTATTATTATTATTATTATTATTATTATTATTATTATATTTATCCATATTCAAACTACTGAACCAATCTGATACTGACATAAACAGTAATAGTAACGATTAACATGTGGGAGCACTTACCCTCCTCTTCTTTGGGGTCCAGCTGGGTGACTTTAACCTGCAGACGATCCACTCTTTCTCCAAGTGTATTTACTCTGGTTGCAAAAGCTCCAGCCTGGACAAACAGCTCCCCGAACACGTCCTCGGCATATTTGCCTACATAGACGCACAAGTTTATGAATTACATCAATTAAAATATTTGTCCCACACATGCACAATCAATGCATATTCACTCCTACATTCAAATCTCATCTCAATCTAAAATAGTACCTTCCATAACTGTACACATTTGCCACATGTTATTATTAATCATTCAAACCATACTTTAATGACATAATGACACCCAACACACACACAGCAGGGACTTACTGAGGCTGCCGAGCTGGCGGATAATATTGGCCAGGCTGATATTGGTGACACATTCTAGCTCACTGCGGATGTTGGAAGGGATGGTCTGGCGACACACGTGCCGCGGCTCTATATTCCTCGTAACCAGAGGCATGGTTGGATGTTGTGGGTAGGGGGGCCCAACCCTAAAGAGGGAAGAGGAAGTGAGTCATTTAAGTCAAAGACATACAGACATAAAAAGTAGTAAAAGACAGATGAATTACTATGTATTACATACAGTTGTGATAAGATAAACTGAGAATTGGGAAGGTGGCTCACGCATCCTGCTGTAAACATATACCAGAATATTCTATAGAATATGTTTGGATATCAGTTATGTATATCGGCCATTGGCAGCCCTGCTCTCTAACTATCGGCATCACTGTCAAAACCCATTTTGGTCAAGCACTAATCCTTTTTTTTTTTTTACTGGTTTATGACTTTTTGTTGTTACATCCAACCCTAAATAAATCACATGATCACGGGACTCCCCAACACGCCTGTATAAATAAAACCTGGGCCAGACAGAGCTAAAGCAGAAGCAAAACTAAAGTTCTGCTCCACTCAGCAACCATCCAGCATCCACTAAGTTGAAGTGAAACCGGAAAAATCTACATATAAAGAGAGAAAGACTGGTGCACAGATGGAAAAAAATCACAATCAGTGTGTGACAGTGTAAACTCCCCACACAACTCTCAACTCTCCAGTGCTGTATGGAGTCAGATCAGAGATTGGCAACTCCCATAGGCGCTCAGAGATGTGCAGTGACTGCAGACTACCTAAGACAGTGCAGGCAGGCAGAGTTTAGCTTACTGTAAGTATACCCTGCACTGTTTCCTATTGCCCAGCTCGGTCGGCTAATTACAAGTTTTCCATGTTAAGATTTGGGCTTCAGAGAGCGGTGAGGTCATGATACAAATGTTACTGGGTGGATTCAAGTGTCTGCTCTTTTCCTTTGGGGTTGACAGACAAACTCAAACTGAGCATACTGTAAGTCTGTCGGGTTTATCCACTGCTTTATGAACAGTGGGGCTTGTTACAGCTGTATCCACACAGCCCCGCACTGTGGGCTTTCTGCTGTGTTCGGCACTACCTACAAAACTGAAACCAGAAAGCTTTTTACCAATACGTTTAACACATTGGATGCACTCTGAAGTTTCTCCTAGGTATGTAACAAGAAGAGAACAAAACAACCGGAAACATTAAACTTTAACGCCCACAACATTCGCTACAAAAGGGCTCAAATGTAACTTGGGATCTCGGCCTTGTCAGAGCAGGAAGTAACTTGTAGGCGCCACTTATCTCGAAGGGACAGCCAAACTAAAGTATGTTTCTTACGTCCTCCACTTTATAAAAACACTTCTGTTCAAGCATATTGTTCTTACCGTCAAAACTGGCAACTGTAGGCCCTCTCTATAGCCCGGTTGTTGTCTTGTCTCAAGATTTCCACAAGAAATGTTGAGCGGTACAGTACACGGACGAGCTAAACAGATCGCGACAGTCCCGGGATTGTGAACTTGTGATTGGTCGAGTGACTGAGTTCCTCAAAGCTGATTGGCCACCGCGCCTGTCGCCTCTTTTTGCTAAGAACAGGATGTGGAAATTTCAACGTAAAAAGCGCAACTCCACCCTGACTAGTAGCAAACATCTGTGCGTAATTTGCGTAACGGAGGGTGGAGGCAGGAGCACATTCCAAACGTGCGCTCAAGCGAGTTGGAACGCGTCCGAGGAATGACTGGCATTGGCCTTTACGAGTAAGCTCTGAGCAGAAAAAAAGCCCTTATGGAGATAAATAAGCGTCCTGCGAGCCTCACCGGCTGAGTGTTAAGTGCATCCTTAACCTCAGCCCAGCCCGTGCAACCTGGAAGTACACACGGTTTATGGGAGGAGAGTTCTCCAGTAAAGGTTAAATCATTTATCCAAGTGTAGGAACCTGTGGTAAATGGTACAATTGAGGCAACCTGCCTCTGTTGCAATAGGATGGCAATTATACTCGTATCTTGCGGTGTGGTGCCTACATCTTAGGCTTATTTGTGTTGCATTAAACAGTTAGGACACTGCTGCAGCCACTTAATAGCCAGTATTTTTGATTTGTGGATTATGTGCAAATATGTTGAAATATAAACACAAGCACTGGGAATGAATTTCTACACCTATAATTTATTGGAAATACACACATACATACACTTAAGATCAGCTTAGGTATCACATGAATTCACAATTATACTTGCAGCTTCTACACAGCCCC